TGTGGGCAGGTCTCTTTTTAATTGATTATGATATTATATGACATCACAGAACTAGTGCGCATGCATCGCCATGCCCACTTTTCATTAAATGGAAGTAAAATGGCATTTTGGTCAGAAGAAAGCTTTTGTTATTTCGTAACAGGGGAGTTTTTGTTAAAGGGAGTTCCGTTTTCATTGAAAAAATGAGGAAATGAGTTGGTTCATTTAATTTTTTTCATTATAAGGTTTTTGTTGAAAAGTTCCATTATCAGAGGTTCCACTGTATTTCATGTTTGAGCGTCTTCAAGAACAATGGGCACCGTATGGTGTATTACATGATAAGCGAGTTACTGAAGACAAGTATAAAAGTCTATCTTAAAGCCAATCAATGGACACTACTCACTCAAATGTGACTATAATTGACAAAAGGTACCTTATGGCGGATAGGAAAATTGTTGTTTATTGTTTAAAAAATTCAACTTCCTGAGCTCCGTTTATCGTATAATTACTCCAGAGGATGCAAAAAGTTACTGTATAACCTTTAGAAACAAATTTTGATTAACAAAGCACTCCCAGGTTGATATTTTTCAATATAATGAACTTAAAAATCTGCCATAAGGACCTTTTTGTCCATTATGGTCACAAATGGCAACTGCACTTAAACCTCGTCAGGTAGCTACTACTGCATTATGTGAGGCTGAAATTGTATGTGCCATTAGTGTATCCCATTATGACTAGCCTCATCAACAAGCATGTAGTTATCAATGGTGAAGATCCAACAGCTGTTAAGAAGTTTAAATATACTGTGATAAAGTCGATTCACGCCTACAAATATAAGAATTACAAGGAAAGTTCCTGTTTTAGTTTCTAATGTTAACTATCGCTATCATAAACATTGTTGTCAGTATACGCCATTATTTATATCAAAGAAAGCAGAGGAGACAGGAATCTATCCCCAGACAACTTATATGTAGCTAGCATCATCATTTACACTGATTATTTGCTCTGACATGTGAATGGTTTTAACAACATTTAGTTTTGTATCTTTATCTCAAGAGTGATAGACAGATGATAGTAAATGATTTAATCGTTAGTTACAGTGCCAAAATGTGGAGGTCACCCACAATAGTTTCTTTGGACAAATGATTACGTCTTTTTGTAATGATCAATTTACTGATGAGTTTCAGAGGTTTGTTTTCTACCATTAAGCATAAGAGCAAAGGGCTTGTGACATTAAATATCACACGACTAATGCTTAGAGTACATTGGTGGCCGCCAACACAATTTCAAATGAATGAGTTATACAGAACTGAAACTACACAACGTAAATGTTATTTAGATCATTAATGATTGCCTATTCATAAAACACAAACTGCAAACAGATTGACTACCACATTAGCTCAATTGTGCAAATAGAGAAAGTGTCTCTATACATTATAGGACCTACCCATACAAAATTTGACATTATGCAACAAAAACCACTGCAAAATACCTGCTAAACCCCAAAATACAAA